GTGTGTGTGTGTGTGTGTGTGTGTGTGTGTGTTTGTGAATCCGATGCGGATGTGGAGGGTATTGATGGCAAAGCTGAGGCACCGCTGGGGTAACGTTTAAGGTAGATGCACATCACCTAGACTGGCAAGAAACTGGTTGAAATTCAAGCCTGCAGTTGAAAGACCCTGGTCGGAATCCAAGCCTGGAAAGAACCTGGTCGAAATCCAAGCCTGGAAAGGACCTGGTCGAAATCCACGTACGTGGATTTCGACCAGGTCCTTTCCAGGCTTGGATTTCGACCAGGTTCTTTCCAGGCTTGGATTCCGACCAGGGTCTTTCCAAATGCAGGTCTGCCAAGAACCTGGCCTCAGTGCAGGGCCAGCAAGGAGCTGGTCCAAGTGCAGGCCAGGCAAGAAGCTGAACGAAGTGCTGCACTGGCGAGAAGAATTCTGTTCAATTGCACACCTGGCAAGAAGGAGGATTCCGTCCAAATGCAGAACTTGCAAGAAGAATTCCGTCGAAATTCTGGTCCAAATTTTGGCAGACCTGGCAAGGAGAATCTGGTGCAAATGCAGACCTGGAAACAAGAACCTGGTCCAAATACTGTTCCAGCAGGAACCTGCGCCAAAGACAAGCCTGCTGTCCAAATGCAGGCCTCACGAGAACCGTTTTTCAAAAAATGCATTTGCAACCTACCAAAGGACCTGGTTCAAAATTCAAACCTGTTTAGAGCAGGTACGAGCTCAACCCCTGTCTGACCTGACTTTGACTTTCAGGGCTGTTGTATCTGACTGCGTATCTGGTCCTCCTCCTAGACCAACATCGCCGCGAAACGGATGGAAGACTTTTAAGTTTTAATTGATGACCCACAGGCCCTGGTCGTTTCTCGGATGTTCCCTGTGCAGGAGATTGTGCGCAAGGAATGGCACGTAATGCGGACGTCAATGAGGAAAGAACACAGCGGGAAAGTCAAGGAGAAAAAGCGCAAACTCCAGAGTTCAAGTCAACAAAGCCAACCTCCTGTTGGTAATACTATTCCGTCTGGTCTTCCCTTTCGGCATGACAATGACCAGGCGGTCCAGGCGATGCTGTCGGGAGTGGAGGACACATGCAGTTCTGGTCAAGGTGTGAATGATGGCGCCTGGTCTGAAGTGGTTGACGAAAGGAGAAGCGGCGTCGTTATGCCAGGTCTGATCACAGGAAAGAGGCTCAACCGCTGGGCCAGGCCCGACTTGCTTCAGACACTGTGACTGTGCTTTTTGGGGGGGACCAATCGATGTTTTGCGTAAAACTCGATAAAAGAATTGAGATCTCACATATGCGCACATCTTGAAATCTGTAGCCTCACTGTCGCCGGGCAGCCATAAAAGATGCATGTGCCTGAGCAGCGGCCCGAGTAGCGATCAGACATGTGCACGAATCAGCCCCTCTGTGCATCAGCCCCTCTCTGAAGCAGTCACAGGACCTCTCTGCATCAGCCACTCCCTGCATCAGGCCCTCAGTGCCGTCACTGAAACAGCCCCCTCTCGGCATTAGGCCCTCTTCGCATTAGGCCCTCTCTGCATCAGGCCCTCTCTGCATCAGGCCCTCTCTAAAGCAGTCCCCCTATGCATTAGACTCTCTCTGAAGCAGCCCCTCATGGCGTCAAGCCCTCTCTGCAGCAGCTTGTCTCTGCATCAAGCCCTCTCTGAAGCACCCCCTCTCTGCATCAGTGACGCTCTGCATCAGCTCCTCTCTGCATCAGCCCCCCTCTGCGGCAGCCCCAGCAAACATGTAGTCTTTTGCCGGGGGACTCAGAGGGGAGCTCATATACCTTATTCCCGCTGCCAGTGGGCCCAAGACTACATAAGATGTGTAGGCCTTGGCTGAGATAAATGGGACTCCTTGGAGAATGAGAAAGTAAACAATTGCGAGATTGAGAAATAATGAAATTCCCTTTCCTTTCTTCGGGGGGGGAGGGGGGAGGCCGGGGGGGATTCCTATTTTGGGAGGAATGATTTGGCAAAATTGTAGGGGGTGGCGACTGGTTGAGGTGTAACCCGCATTTTGACTGTTTTCTTATGAAATTCAGTGTATGATTTTGTCTGCATGGTGTGTCTGGTGTGAAGAATCTGTCTGTCAGCACTTCCGGCACCCTTCGTCTGAAGTCTGCAGCCTTGAAAACGGAAGCCGTAATCGCAATGCACCCCTGGCCCACTTGCGTGCAATTTGATACGGGCGGCGCGGGGAATAAATTTTTGGATCGACAAATTAACCTCCACGGCAGTGGTGGTTTAAGGAAAATTCAGACCCTTTTTTTTTACGCTTGCTTTTCTAGCCTTTTGCAGGTCCTTCCTGTATGTGCTATTATGTAATTGCTATTCTTAGAATTCAAAGTGACCCTGATTCTGTCACAGTTGTGTTTCTTCTTCTCCTCCTCTTCCTTCTTCTTCTCCTTCGCTCCTTCTTCTCCTCCCTACTTCTCTTCCTTTCTGTTTACTCCATGTGTTTTGTGTTTCTCATTAATTCGGTGGTATTCAATTCGGATTTCAAAGTTGCTCTTCAAAGTAACATCCCTTCTGTGCTGATTCCATTGGACATGTTTCTCCTCCTCCTCCTCCTCCTGCTGTTGTTGTTGTTGCTGTTGTTGCTGCTGCTGCTGCTGCTTCTGTTTATTGCATGTGTTTCGTCACTTCCCCTTTTGAATTTCTGAATCTTGCATAGCTACTCAGTCAACCTTATCTGTCGAAGAAAACTGCACCATGCATTCGGGGCTCTCAACTCAATTACCGAGCGGTCCTTTGGATGGTAGAGCGGACTTGGAGCTGGCAGGTGGGCAGTTGATGACTGCGGTGAATAACGATCAGGCCTTGGCAATTACTGACAACCAACTTCAAAGCCAGTGGAACGTGGATGGAGACGAATTTATCCGCACTAAGATTCAGGTATCATTCATTCTTTCTGCACTTAATAATCCTTTTCCGCTTTGTACCAACAAATTGCACGCGGGGAATGACATACCGCATGCCAATATTATTTGACACCATGCGCTCAAATTCCTTTGTGACCTTGGTCACTTGCTGCTTCTGAATGCCAGTGAATGGACGACCTGTCTAGATGGTGTTGATGAACAAGTCAAGAGTTCAAACTTCAAACCCTGTTCCATAATAGTATCACGGTTCATTAACCGCATGCACTCTGCCTTTCTTCTGATCGTTGAAGTCTTCTTATACTATGTTCATTCGATGGTAAACTGCCAGATAAAAGCATAAAATTATTAAAATTATAATAAAATAATATAACATGTATCGATAAAATAATATCTTATTATTATGTATAGATAAAATAATATAACATGTATAGATAAAGTAATATAACATGTATAGATAAAATAATATAGCACTTATACTAGTCTTATAGTAAATACTAAACAGGCTAATTCTATCACATGGATTCACACCATAAACTCAAAATGGGTAAAACAGACAAATGCCATGATTGCTGCTCCTTTTCAAAGTGGAGACCAACTGCCAAGTTGCCAACCCATTCTTTGTTATCAGCACACATTATGTCCTCGATGAGACTGAAGTCTCTTTTTTTGTTGTTGTTGCTAAATCTATGAGCGTTGAGCGAGCCATTCATTTTTTTCATTTTTTTTTTTTTTTTTTTTTGAGAAAACAGAACCTTTTGGTTCTGGCTCCTACCATTCTGGGGAGCGACAGTCCGGTTCCTATTCCCCCAGCAAGTCAATATGGGAAACATGGGTGACTCACGCACGCTCCTCCCCATTATGGTTGGGAGGTCCGAGTGGACGGCATTGATTACTTCTCTGAGGAAGGATGTACCACCCCTCACCCCTGCCTAGTTTAGCCTGTGCTATTTGATCTGTCTGGCTGTTGCTAACGTGTCTGAAGACTCTGAACCCAATCCCGCTCCTCTCAGCTGTGGTGCTGTCGGGCTATTGTGTTATGCTAGAGCGGTCTGGAGTATCTACGAGCCTCTTGAAATCTCTAACATCCTCGGCCGTATGTGTCTTGTTCCTGTCTAGTCTTAAAACCTAAACCCTCTAGCTAAAACCCTGAACCTTTGTTGGCTGTAGTGCGTTTTTATGGTCTGTCCCTGTCCGAATTTTCTGTGTTGACACTGTTGAATATGTCTATAGTTTCTTGGCGGGGTAGTTTGGGTTGGGGGGGCAGTGACTGAGGTGGTTTGTGCAGTGGTGAAGGTTTTGGGATTCTGGGTCGATGGGCTTGGGGTTATGGGCTTGGAGCGGGAGAGCGAGGATACATGTGGTAAGGGAGGGGCTGTGTTACTATTGGGGGGAACGGGTTTTGTTGGAGTTGGGAATTTCTGAGGCGTGTAGGGGCACAATGTGGGGGTTGTCCGGTGATGTCCTGATTTGATGTGGTTAGTGTGTGTGTGGGTGGGTTGGGTTGGGGGGTGTAGTGGGGTGTATGCTGCGCGTTGTTAGGGTTTTGCCCTTGGCTGATTGCTGAGGGCCACCCTCCCTCTGATCCTTTCTAGCTATGCCCCTTTAACCCTAAACCCTTCTTCCAAATCTTAACCCTACCCCCTCCTTTGGTCCTTCTCATTTTCATTCTCTCTTACTTGTCCCTTTGGACTCTACTCTTTCTCTATTCCCTTCTGGTAGCTTCCCTTTAAACCTTGAATCTCTTTTTTAAAACCCTAAACCCTAGTCTTTCCCTCTCTCTCTGTTTTGACCTTGGTTTTTAATAGCAAACAGATTGCTGAAATTATTTCCTATCCATTCTAGGTTACCATTATCTAGGGCTTGTATCTTGCCTTTTTATATGCTTGAGCCTTAAATCTTAGAGCCTCCCCTTCTTTCTCTTTATACTATGTGTCCTCTTTCTTTCTTGGCGGGTTGGTGTTGCTGCTGTTTCCTTTTGGACTATCCTTTTCTCTTTTTGTCTTGGTTTTCCATCTGTCCCTATCCTCCGTTTTGAAGTGCTGTCCTTGGCCTTTTTGTTTCTTCATGGTACTAAACTTCGCTTCCTCTTACCCTCCTCTATTCTATGGTTGCGCTTGTTCCTCTTCCGAGTTCTCCTTTCTTACCAGTCTAAGTCCATTGCGCTTGTGCTATTCTGACTTGTTCTTGGGCTGTCCGGATCCCACCAGTTCGTGAATTGAAGGGTTTTCCCGTTTATCCTTGTCATTAGCCCCTCCTTCAGCCACTGTTGTTCAAATTCTTTCTGTATTTTAGTCCTCTTCTGATCGTCTATTTCTTTGTCCATTCTCCCCAGCACTCGCTTCCATTCGACTCTAACTCCTGTTTCTACCATTTGCCTTGCCTCTTCCCATGATTCGTTTGCCGTTATCTTCTTTTTTCCTATCGTGTTTCCACATCTGGCTCTCCATATTACCCACAGGGTTGTTCTTCGTAGTAACTCTGTGATCTCCTTATCCTCCTCAGGGATTAAGCCTTCTCTGTCTATTGCTGTTAGTAGGAGGAATTGGTCTGTTGGGAATTCGTTGTTAGATAGGTTGGACCAAGCTTTTTTGCACTTGAGCCAGAGCGCTTTGGCATGCTGGCATTCCAGTAGGCAGTGAGTTAGTTTTTCCGCTACCTGTTCTTGGCACATTTGGCAGTGTGCTGAGGATTCTGTTCTATCCTCCTTTCTCCTCTTTGTTTCTAACCACTCATTGGTAGGGACTGCCATGTAAATTATCAACCATTGCAAGCTTCTCACTTTCTGAGGCCTGATCGTTGCATAGTAGGTCCATGGGATTGTTTGCAAGAAGGCTCGGTCTATTTGGAGGTTTTTTTCCCACCTTGCCGCTATGATCGGTTGTGGATTTTCTAGTTTGCGTCTTATCTTATACCCCCGTTTTACTGTGTATTCGTGCAGCGGGATCCACTTTTTGGCCCTTCCCCTCCCTCTATTCTGATACCAGCCCCACTCGTTGGGGTCGACTTCTAATTCCGATATGTCTTTATTTGGTCTAAACAAACAGTGGGGGGGTTCTGCCTTCTTTCTTCCCTTCCTTAGTCCTTTTTGCTCATTTTTAAGTTCTCTGACCTTCCTCAAGTCTTGTAGGGCAAAGTCTAGGTTGATTAGGGTGTCTTTTCTGACCTCCACTATTGCTTTATCTGCGTTCTCCAACTCATGTACTTCAAATTTGGCTATGTGCCTAACGGTTCCCTCGTRTCYTAWGAAACGAAGGGCTACYGAGGGTGTTTCTTGTGCCTTCAATGTTGCCCAGTCACCTTTCTTCCAAACTATACTTCTTTTTAGCGTTGAYCTCCAAGCTATTGGGATACTGTCTAYCAATTCYTCTAAATTTTGCTGTAAATTGTGATGGCCTCTCAGTTTAGTTCTAAGGTCTCCTTCTGATTTCCACTTGCTGTTTCCTTCATCCCATATGTGTTCGATCTTCCATATGCCTCTCTCTACCCAMGTCCTCCATCTCTTCCCCCTCGCCTTGAGAGACCATGTCTTTCCATTCTGATCTTTCAAGAAGTCATTCCCAAACAGCGGTTGTCTCAAAATTTCTTCTTTTGTTCTTTCTTTGTGGGAAAGCTTCCCTCCATGCTGTTATCAGTTTTGCCCAGTGGCTGCTTGGGGGATCAGCATTCGGTAACTAGTTCCTTTGTCTAGGTCAGCCTCCTTCTCTTTTGGGTGTCCAATATCTTTTCATGATCCATGAATGACCTTCTATGCTGTCATGTGCTTTAAAAGGTAGCAGGTTTCTTATTTGGTATAGGGCCATTTCTTGCCATGGTGGTTCCATTTTCAACAACAGCCTTAAGATCCACTTTGTCTGGAGAGCTTTATATTCCGTTACGGGATCTATGAGACTGATCCCTCCTTCCTCCATTGGGTTGGTTACATATTTCCAGGCTACTTTGGATATGAATTGGTTCTTGGATGCGTCCCCTGTCCATAAGTAGGCTGTTGCTTTTCTCTTTATGTCCTTTGTGAAGTTGGTGGGTGGGTCCCAGATTGATGTCGTGTACCAGACCATGGAGAAGATCGATGAATTGATGACTATCGCCCTACCCATCAACGATGTGTAGATCTTTTGCCAACCCTTATATTTATTCATGACAGCTGCGAGCAGGCTCGCTGCTATTGAGTTGCTGGTCCCTGCTAGGGTAACTGTGATTCCCAGAAATTTAAAAAGGACTTGGTGGTTCATCCATTGAATTCCCTGTGTTGATTCGTTGCTTGGAGGGGGGGGTGTTTCTGAGATCCACCATCCTATTGTTTTCTTCCAATTTATCTTCATTTCCGACGCTAGGTGGAAGGCTTCCATAGCCTTCGTTAGTGTTAGAAAGGATGAGTCAGACGCTCTTATGAGGACTGTTAGGTCGTCAGCGAATAGCATCACTGTTGGAAGATGGATCCGCTTATTCCGTCCGTCATCGAGGGTCTGTAACCTTTCTATGGAGGGGTCTTTCCGCAGAAAAGTGGCTATTGCTTCCATGACAAAGAGGAATATTGGAGCAGCTAGTGAACCTCCTTGCCTTACCGATCTCGTCATTCTGTATGAATCGAATAGATGGTCGTTGACTTGGACTCTCCCCCTTGGGACCGCGTACACGACTCTCACCCAGCTCCTAAAAACTGCCCCCACTCCCATTTTCTCCATGCATTGCTGAAGGAAGTCCCAGTTGACTTGATCGTAGGCCTTTTCGAAGTCAAAGAAGAGGATGGCAGCTTGTAACTTCTTGTCTCATATTAACTTGGTTGTTTCATTCAGACAGATTACGTTGTCCAGTATGAATCTTCCTGGGATGAATCCTGTTTGATCTAAATGGAAGCATTTATCAGTTACATTTCTTATTTTATTGGCTAGGACCTTTGCTATTATTTTGTAGGCTACTGTTAGTAAGGATATTGGCCTATAATTTCTTATGTCCTCCCTTTCCCCTTTCTTGTATAGTAGTGTTACTACTCCCGTGCTAATGTCTTCTCGTAAT